GGCTTTAGCTTCTTAGTGCTGTGCTTTAACCCGCTGGGCCCCCAGGGAGGGCCCCTCTTCCAGTTTTAAAGGGCTCTGTGGTGACACCAGGTCAACCTTGCTATTTCAGTCTAAACCTACTGGCTCTGCTGCTTCCAGCTGCAGCCTCGCGCCTGCCCCTCTTGCTATGTGAGGTGACCTCACAGGCCCTGGGCATCAGGACGCGTGGTGTGTGCTGGAGCTTCTGGCCTCACTGCCTGCTCCGGGCTCTGATTTTGATTCCCAGGGACGTTGCCACCACTGCGGTGCTGCTGGCCTTTGCAGGCCCTGCAGTCACACCTCCCTCCCTGACACGTGCAGATCGCATTCCTGGCCCCACTAGCTGTGTGTGCTCTGCCCTCAGCTAGCGGTTCACCTCTAGCCCTGTGGGTTCAGCGTAATTCCACTGCTTGGAGTGAGTGCCCTGGGTGGGGATCAGATGTCTTGCTAGGTTAGGAATGAGGAACAGGGAGGGGTCTCTGCATCCATGGAATGTCCAGTCCTTCCTGTAACTCTCACTGGCTCCCCGTTCTACACCTTGAGGCAGAAAGTCAGGAGTGAGAACTCTGCTCACCAGATTCTGACCTGAGAGCAGGTGCTTTCTTCAGTTGGACTAGAATCTGCCTGAGTGGCCCATGAAGTCCTGCAGGGGGTGTAGGAGCCCCAACTCCTGAAACTGTCTCCTCAGAACATCTGGGGACATGTGGCCACCCTGTCCCCTCCTGGAAGCAGTTGAAAGATGGGCACAAGTGTCAGGCAGAGTCCAGCCAAAGTGCCTGTTGTGCCTCCCTCCTCTGGTCACCACAGTTACTGCCAAGCCTGGGGTTTATTGGGCCACATACATGCTGGGGCTGTATCCAGCCTTCTGGTAGGAAAGACGGGGTTCCTTTCTGACAGCCCCCTCCCTGCCTCACAGAGGCCAGCAACTCACTCATACAGGCGTGGCCAGGTGGCCTGGTGGTAATATCACCTTGCCCCATGGTTCTGGGAGAGGGGAGGGCCCTTCTCAGGAACCAGGCATGGAGGTGGGGTAGTGAGGCCAGTGACAGGGGTATGGCTGGCTGTCCCACTGAGCACTGGCACTGCCATTTGTGTCCCCATATGACCCCCTGCAAACCTCCTTCCTTCCAGGGAGAGCATTTCCTTGAGGCTATTTTTGAAAATTCCTTGAGCTGGGTGGTTGCCAAAACTGTAGCCTGAGGAAGGTGAAACTTCCCAGAGGTGCCACTGAGGATGAAGTGCCTCAGTGTGTGGTCTGCTGTGCACATAGCAAACTGTACAATTCTGGGACCACTTGGAGTTTTGGTTTGTGAACTTATCAACAGGCTGTGAAATCAATAGCAGGTGAAGGTCTAGGTCCTGTGAGTGAGGCCTCACGGTATCTGTGACAACATCCAGCATCCTCTAGTTCTTCCACGTCCATCACTCTTCACAGGTAACTGAAGGGATGCACTGGGACTAGTCGTGGCTCCCAAGTGTTCTCTCCATCAGGCAACGATCTTTTCTGTGAGTAGTGAGAACCCGCAGTGGCCGTGAGTTCCCTTGGGGCAGGGCAGAGTTGTTGGCAAGAGAACCACCTGCCTGATCACTGGGAGGTGAGAGAGACGCTGTCCTGTCTGAGTGCCTGAGCCTCAGTGAGCTGGGGAGAGTGTAGGGCTTTGCACTGCTGCTCGGCCTTGGGTCTCCTCTGACAGCAGCACCTGCCCACTCTGGACTACTTGCCTCCCTGTGCTTGCTTGTAGCCAAAGGGAGCTGACAGGAAACAGAAGACTGACCGGGAGAAGATGGAGAAAAGAACCATCCAAGAGAAGGAGAAATACCAGCCTTCCTATGAAACCACCATCCTCACAGAGGTAAGCCAGCCACTGCTGGGGTGAGTCCCAGGCCCTTCCGCCTGCAGGCGAGGGCGCTGTTGGTTTAGATTCTTGGAAAAGTGCCCATCTTGGGAGAATGCTACTTTGGGGAGTGCCCATTCCACCGGAGTGCGTTCTCAGTGTGGAGATGGTGTTCCTCTAAGACCTAGTATCGGCGAGGTATTTCAGAAATGACCTAGTTCTCTGTGCTATTTGCACTTTGCAAAATTAGGTTGTCTTAATTATTTTGAACAGGAAATGCATGTACATGGTCCAGAACTCGAAAGTTATAAAAACATGTATAGCAGAAATTCCCTACTACCACTGTCGCGGCTGGCGTCTCTGGTTCTTTGTGTGTCTGGTTTGACTTTCTCTGCAAACGAAGCCATTCCTACACTTTTGTCCACGGACCCCCTTTTCCACCGATAATGGACACAGAGCCTGTTCTGAAACTTGCTGTCTTTAGTTTAGAGCATATCTGTTCCCTCTCAGGTCACAAAGAATTTCTCGTGCTTGATCTGGCGGCATAACTTTAGTGCACGGATAGCTGCTTGGTTGTTTTGTAGACTCCTCCTTTCTGACAGAGCACAGGACGGGAACACCCCCCCCCCCCGCACTCCAGGGGGGTCGCTGGGTTGGAGGGTCTAAGCACTTGCTATTTGTTGTTTGGGTAGATACTGGAATGCATTTCCTTTTGGCCCTCATGCCAGCCTGTCCTGCCATCTTTCTGTCCAGGGCATTTTGGAGATGCTCAGTGTCATGTCATAGACTCCTTTCCTTCTTTCACAGGTCACTGCTGGTGCCACCTTCTTTCCTGGGCTCTGTTTTTTGAGCACCTGTTCCCTCAGCCCCTCCTGTCTTGTTTTGCAATCAGACCATTGGGTAATTGACTGAAAGAAGCCCCCAGCCCTCACACACAGCAAAGCAGCACTAGTGCTGATTGCAAGGACTAGTGCTCAGACCAGCGAGTATTTTCCTTGCTTCCCTACCTGTGCTGACCTAGGGTGACCTCCCTGTGTCCCCCAGCCCTCCAGTGAGTCCCACCTAGTGGCTTGAGCCTCAGCCTCTCTCCTTCTTACTCTCTGCTTTCCCTGGAAATGAGAGGCTCTGAGTGCTTCCTGCCATGTCTGTCCAAGCCCTGGTCAAAATGTGGTACGGTTGATTGAAATCCCCACCCGGCCCCTGACCTTGTATCAGCTCATCAGCTTTCCTTCTCGGGCCATAGGATTTAGCACCAACAAAATTCCAGCCCACACTCACAGCAGAGTTAAAAATTGACCCACCCTGTGGTGCAGTGGGTGATAGTAACTCCTTAGGAATGCTTCAGATTGGCCCTCTCTGAAGAGGTATCATCTCAGGGGAGGGGAGAAATGAGTACTCCATTGGCCTCCCCAACAGGCAAAACCCAGGCATCTGTGCTTTCTTATTTTTCCCCCCAAAGATTTATTTATGTGTACAGAAATGGGGTACAGGTGAGAGGTATGTGGGGTAAGAGGATTCATTAGAGACAGAGTGGGGAGCAAAACAGGCAGATATATGAAAATACACTGCTGAGGGGAGCAGTGGGTGAGACAGGAGAGATTTGTCACGACAGGAGAGGTCTGGGTCACCTCCCTGGCTGGGGATTGAACTTGTGCTGAGGTGGCTGCAATAGCTTCCCAGTGCTGTGCTTTAACCCAAGGTGCAACCTGGGAGGGCCCTGTTTCTGGTTTCTTTGGGAGACTCACACACATGTTCATATTTGTCTTCTGTACAAGAAGTTCCTTGAGTTCAAGGGTCGCATCTTCCAGTTTCCATGTCACCCTTAACTCCTAACAGGATGCCTGCTATATAATAAAGATGCATGTTAAGTCAGCAGAGAGGTGTGTGTAATGATATACAGGTTGTGTTAAAGAGGGGCTGCTCTTGTGACGGAGAAAGTGCTTCTCCTGTGTCTCCTGTTGGCAGATTCTCGTCAGATGGTGCAGGCTTTAATACTAGACTTGACTGGTGCTTTTTGGTTTGGACGTTGTCTGCAGAGTATGCTCCCTGTTTCATGCCTGTGTATACCTTTGGCTGCACTAGGAAAATCTGCCTCTAGGCAACTGGCCTGTGTGGTTTTTTGAGTCCTTTCACATGGCCCCAAGAATCAGGTGAACAGTATTTCCTTCTCTGCTTTGTGAGGACGCTCAGTGAGACACATACCACACTTGGCTCGCTCTAGGATGATACAGAACACGAGGTCTCTAGTCTGCCATCACTGAGTCTTTTGCCCCCAGTAAGGTGCCCCTCTCTGGCTCATGGGGGCACTGCGTACATGAGTTGGGTGCTCAACGGTCAGCGAGCGGTGTCTTGCATCTGCTTTGATGGGTGCTTGCCTGGGAGTGTCCGAGGAGCCAGATCCTCTTGAGTACTCCTGCCCTCAGTCACGTCTGCCCTGTGCTTTCTCCCTGCAGTGCTCCCCGTGGCCCGAAGTGGCCTACCAAATGAACAGCGTCCCGTCCCCAAGCTACAATGGTTCTCCAAATAGCTTCGGCGTTGGTGAAGGGTATGTGCAACCTTTCTCCCTCCAGGTTCCATCCTTGGTCTTCCTCTATGTGACATTCCTCCTTTTATAACTTGACACTGCTACAGGCTTTAGGGTGGCTAATACTTATGACCATTTTTGGCGTGTGTATTGCTTTTGGATACTTGGATACACTTCTGTGAACACTCTCTGGTGGGGAGCAGCTCAGGAGATCCTCTCCCCAGTAAAAGTAGGGTTTGCCTCCTGAGATGACCTCCAACTCGGGTGGGGTCTTAGGAAGAGGCTATGCGGATGGGTGCATGCAATAGCCCTGAGGGCTCCTCGTGGAGCTCTCAGTAGCTCCTGTGGACATTTGTGGGTAGTGGGGATCAGCTAGGGGTCCTCCTTGCCCCAGAGGCCTTACTGTAGGCAGCTGCTCGCAGATGCAGAGGCCTCACTGACGCCAGGGAGATGGGAATATACTGTGTGCCCCATTTATGGGAGTGGGAGGGAGAAGGCCAGGTAGGTTTAATAGGCTTGAGTTGAACCTTGAGCCACTGCCTGGCAGAGAACTTTATACACGGGAAAGCAAGACTGTTCAAGAACTTAATTTTACACAGTGAGGACAGCCTTCCTGAAAGAGGGAGACATGGAAGAGGAGTCCTGATTAGATTCTGACAGATGTGATTTTTTTTTAAAAAAAATAATATAATAGTTTATTTTTACATCATTTTGTGCCTTTTTCCATCTCAGTTGAGATATGATTTTATAATCTACGCCTTTCTGAGGGAGACTCAGCCTCTGATTCCCCCCTCTACAGGAGTAAGCATTCCATGCAGGGTCAGGAGTGCGTGTAAAATGGCCATACTTAGCGACACTTGGAGTGTCCTTTTTGCTGTTTGGTGGCTGACAACAAAAGGATCATCCCTGCCAGGGTCTTTATTATTATTATTATTATTATTATTAGTAGTAGTAGTAGTAGTAGTAGTGAAATATACATCATGTAAAACTTAACATTTTTAAATGTGTCATTTAATGACATTAAACATTTATATTGTAGGGTCACCACAGTCTATGTGGGAGGGTCATTTTAAATGTTTCTTAATTAAAAACCCAGCTGTCTAGGCTTGCTGCTCCTGCTGAGTGAGCCCCTAAAGAGGCTCAGTGTCCTCCCTCTGTGGAAAAACCATGAAAATATTTTTGTCATAGTTGGCAGCAAACTGTGGGCACTTACTGCAGAATAACTCCCTGGACTCCCCTGCCTTCTCCCAGTGCCCCAGAGGAGAGCGTGTGGTTGATTGTGTGTATAGACCCTGGAGCACTGTGAGGTGGGGTCTCCTTGCTCAGCTGCCCTCCCTGCAGGAGAGGCTCAGAGAGGAGACTCTGAGTGGGAGGTAGCTCTGACCCACACACAGCCGTCCTCTGAGTGGGAGGTAGCTCTGACCCACACACA